GAAGCGCGTCCGCGTCCCGTCGCGTCCCGCTGCCTGACCTTTCAGAGCATTTCCGTTGGCACCTACTCGCACACATACATAAACATACACACACACACACAAACACAAACCGAAACTAATAGACACAAATATACACACCCACATTCACACACACAGACACAGGTGTGTTTGTATGTAAATTATTATGCTAGGATACGCATAGAGTTTCATACAGGAACTCAAAATAAGATATAAATATCGAAGAGAATAAGCGACGGGAAATTGTAAACATAAATATACTGTTTGTGCATTTTTTGTAAGTGTACAGATAGAGAAAACCTATATACAAAGCCGGTATAGACATAGGTTCATATATAAGTGTTTATAAATACAAATAAATCGGTCAATAATGTCTAGAGCAGATAAAGTAGATGTGTTCAAAGCGAGAAAGAAAAAGAGGAAAAGAGTGAAAAAGTGTGATACACATACATCAGAGTATATATATATAACTACGACGAATGACGAATCATTACGTTTATTATTCCTTTCTCTTAATATCCGTTTCCCTTCAATCTCGAAAACACCCCGTATATACCTTGTCTATCCAGCTACTTGAAAAATAAAATTGCATATTATTCCTGTAAACTTACGGTATTTGGAATTTGTGTTTTTTAATGCTTTAGGCCATGACGGCAGTTTAGAGACTGTGATGACTCTTAGTAACTCTCTTTGTCTCTTTCTGTATCTCTCCGTCTCTCTATCTACCACACACACATACTTTATCTTTTACTCTTACTCTCTCTTTCTGCATCTTACTGTATCTCTCTCTCTATATATTTCTCTGTCAAATTTCTCTCTCCCTCTCTCTCTCTGGGTCTTTCAATCTTCTCTCTCTCTCTCTCTGGGTCTTTCAATCTTCTCTCTCTCTCTCTCTGGGTCTTTCAATCTTCTCTCTCTCTCTCTCTGGGTCTTTCAATCTTCTCTCTCTCTCTCTCTGGGTCTTTCAATCTTCTCTCTCTCTCTCTCTGGGTCTTTCAATCTTCTCTCTCTCTCTCTCTCTGGGTCTTTCAATCTTCTCTCTCTCTCTCTCTGGGTCCTTCAATCTTCTCTCTCTCTCTCTCTGGGTCTTTCAATCTTCTCTCTCTCTCTCTCTGGGTCTTTCAATCTTCTCTCTCTCTCTCTCTCTGGGTCTTTCAATCTTCTCTCTCTCTCTCTCTGGGTCTTTCAATCTTCTCTCTCTCTCTCTGGGTCTTTCAATCTTCTCTCTCTCTCTCTCTGGGTCTTTCAATCTTCTCTCTCTCTCTCTCTGGGTCTTTCAATCTTCTCTCTCTCTCTCTCTCTGGGTCTTTCAATCTTCTCTCTCTCTCTCTCTGGGTCCTTCAATCTTCTCTCTCTCTCTCTCTGGGTCTTTCAATCTTCTCTCTCTCTCTCTCTGGGTCTTTCAATCTTCTCTCTCTCTCTCTGGGTCTTTCAATCTTCTCTCTCTCTCTCTCTGGGTCTTTCAATCTTCTCTCTCTCTCTCTCTGGGTATTTCAATCTTCTCTCTCTCTCTCTCTCTCTCTCTCTTTCTCTCTCTCTCTCTCTCAATCTTCTATCTCTCTCTCTCTCTCTCTCTCTCTTTCTCTCTCTCAATCTTCTCCCCCCCCCTCTCTCCCTCAATCTCAAATAAAAAAAAAGGAATTCTATATCCTTTTAAAGAGTTCGAAGGATAGTTGACAACATTCCCCCAACTCAAAATACCGGGCATAAGAGGTATCATTTTTTTTCTCCACCTTACTCTACCCGGGAAATAATGAAAACATGTCGACAGGAAGGAAAACAATGCTACGTGGAGGACGATTGCTGCTTTGTTCTGCACGTAAGGCACAGGGAAGGTGACAAGTGCATTTTCGCTTTTTTTGTCGTCTTTCTTGATTTTTTTTTTCTTTTTCCTCTTTCTTTTTTCCTTTAGATAAATCAGATTGGCAATACTTATTGACAACTTTTTTATATTTCCTTGTGTAATGAATGATATATATATATATATATATATATATATATATATATATATATATATATACATGTATATACATTATACATGTATATACATTTATATATACATATATATACATATTTGTATTTTTATATACATTCATAAACAAATAAATATATACGAGTATATATATATATATATATATATATATATATATATATATATATATATATATATATACATATATATGTGTGTGTGTGTGTGTATGTGTGTGTGTATGTGTATGTGTGTGCGTGCGCTTAAATACATACATAGATACACACACACATATATATATACTCATATATATACATATGTGCGTGCGCGTACCTATGTGTGTGTATATATGTGTATGTGTGTGTATACATATACATATATATATATATATATATATATACATATATATATATATATATATATATACACATATGTATACGTATACATATATATATACATGTGTATACATATATATATACATATACATATATATACATATGTATACATATACATATATACATGTGTATACATATATGTATACAAATATATGAATATGTATACATATACAATATACTAACATATACGCACAGAAGCACACACACACACACACACACGTGTGTTTGTGTATGTATCTGTATATGAATATGTATATGTATATCCATATAAATATGTTTATATATATGTATATAAATATATGTGTATAAGTATATTTATGTACACATACACACACACACACACACAAATACATACACACATACACATATATATACACACACACACACACACATACACACACACACACACACACACATATATACACATACGACTTTTTCACATACAACATTAAATGTATTCTAATAAGTTACTGCTGCCGGTTTGTCAAGATGAAATTTATTACAATCAATTTATTATAATCAAAATGTAACTTTGGTATCGCAGCAACCACCCGGCTTTTGGGCTGAAGGAAACCCCGAGCAAAAACACTCTGACTTACCTAATGAGTAACATGACTTAGCCATCTTAGGCTTGTGGGTTGGACTAAATGTATTTCTGTGATGTGTCATAAAAAATGTTTTTACCAGTTTATTTTACTCTTTAACCGTATAAAAACAAACATGTGGCGTATCACTATGTAAATCTTAGTACTAAACATTATAAAGTAAACAAGGAATACTGTCTTCTACTAACTTAATTCAAGTCTTGGGTTAATTATTCCTCTCCCTTCGCTTACTAATTATAACTCAGTAATCACAACAATAAGTATGATAAAAATAAACGTGAGGCGGGATCGAGACAGTCAACCCCCCCTCCCCTCTCCCCCCATTCCCCGGTATTTTCCGTTATTTACTTGGATAAAAAATTATCAGTCCTCTTCTTTCACAATTCTCTTTCCTTCATTTTACTCTAGTCTATTGTTCCTTTCGTATTTCATTACTTGGTACAATTGGATTTGTCACCTTCGACAAATTCCGTTGCTGGAACAGCAGGCTATAAAAAAGAAAATAGTAATAATAATAACAAATAAAAAAAACAAATTTATAAATATATCCTCACAACAACGGCTAGCAGTAAATTTGGTGTTAGTCAACCTTTCTCTCTCTGCGTGGGAGATCAAAGTAACGAATCGTGTTAGTTATCACAAGTCAATACATTACAACTACAGGGTAGAACAAGATTTTTAATAGCAGGCACTCAACACACCTGTGTGCGAGATGAAAACAACCACTCCTCTGACGTAAAGCTGCTTACTACTCCCCCTCATTGAATTGTGAACTTTTAAACAAAAAATAAATAAATAAATAACTATCAATTCACTCTATAGTGATATGCATTTAAAATACACTTAAGTAAACATTTAGGTGGGGCTTGGCAATACTATGTGGTCCAGACATCTTTACAATTTTCAACACTGCATCATTTAAATATCGAATCAATATCGTTCTCGATGAAATTCCGTGCTATCCTAGTTTGACAATTTATAAACACACCTGTACGTGTCTGTGTTTGTGTATGTGTGAATATAGGTGTGTTTGTGTTTGTGTCAGTTTGTGTGTGTGTGTATGCCAGTGGAAATATTCTGAAAGGTCGGCCAGCGGGACACAGACGCGCCTCCACTCATGACGCGGCCGCTACGCCGAGGCTTCTGATTGACCTTCCGTCCTGGTATATAAAGCCAAGAAAATCTTGCTTTATCGCAGTGCGGGTCTTCGATCGGGAAATAATCATGACACCTCTGGTAATGACAGCAATGCATAGTTCATTCTAGAAGCGAGTCAGTGGCAGTGGTAGCTTTGCATGATGTTTGGTCTGTGGAAGTTTAAGAATTGGGAAGACTTCATGAGCATTACCTTTTGCCGCATCCATGAGAACGATTTCATCTTTTAATGCATCATAATGTGTGAAAGAAAACATCAACATAAACAAAGAAATTTCTTTGGCAGGTTTTGTTGGCAGTGCTGGGAGTGTGCTCGGCTGGTCCCTTCACGGGATACACCCCCGAAGTGCAGGCTGAGAGAGCACGCTTCTTCCAAAGCTTCCGTGCTGCTCAGGCTGCCGCCGTTCCCCAGCAGGCCGTGTACCACCATGCTGCCGCCGCCCCTCACCACGGCTTCCACCACGCCGCCCTCGTCCAGCCCAAGTGGACCGGACCCGTGGCTGCCACCGTCCCTGCCGGCGTGGACGGCACCATCACGCCCGTGTCCGACACCCAGGAGGTGGCTGCCGCCCGCAACGCCTTCAGCAGCGCCTACCAGGCCCAGCTGAGGGCCACAGTGGGTGCCGTTCCTGCCGCCCACCATCACGCCCCCGCCCACCACCACGCCCCCACCTACCATCACGCCCCAGCCGCCCCTCACCACGGCTTCCACCACGCCGCCCCCGTGCAGCCCAAGTGGACCGGCCCCGTGGCAGCCACCGTGCCCGCCGGACTCCCAGGCTCCGCCCCGCAGGTCGCTGACACTCCCGAAGTGGCAGCCGCCAAGCAGCAGTTCTTCAGCACGTACAACAGGCAGGCGGCAGCTGCGGCACCCCCATCGAGGCATTACTACTAGACCCAACTGCCATAATGTACATAATGAAGTAAAAATAAATGAACTTGAGATATTTCATTAGTATTATTCAGTACTGGCATTTTTTTCAACAATCAATAGCACAAGCAAATGTATATAGAAATACGCATACTGAACAGACCACCTAACCATCTCTACATATATCCGAACGCACACATTAATTATAAGCACAAATATAAACAGACAGAAAGGGAATAAAGATACAGATACATGCACAAAATGCTCACCTAAACCCAGCCCACTCTTCGAAAAATGAAATATAGGTCACAAGAGAGAAGAATGAAGGAACTAACAGACAGGATATGAACCAACCAGCGAAATCTCGCGCGAACTCGACCGTCACATGTTGTCACGCAGAAGGACTTCTAGGACGCCGGGGCAGGGCGGGGAAGGGGTCAAGCAAGGTCAAGAGGTCAATGTCGGTAATGGCCAAAGTGATGCCCAAATCCGGCGACAGAGTGATTTGTTATATTTGACTTGATTTCATTTTTCTTTATTTTTTTGGGGGGGCGTCATGTTTCAAGGAGTAATAGTTCACGACACAGTTAGAGCTGCCACCTTGTTATGCATATGCATGTTCGATATCTACTCTCTCTCTGCCTGTGTCTCTTTCTCTGTCTGTCTATTCTTCTTAATCTCTATCTCTAACTTTCTGTCTGTCTCCCTCTTTCTATGTATATTCATATATATATATATATTCATATATATATTCTTATATACATGTATCTGTGCTTATATACATATTCATATACCTGTTTTTATATATACATATATATTTATTAATAGATAGACACACCAACACAACCGTAAATATACATATCTGTGTGTTGTGTGTGCATAGATATTTATATATACATATATGTAGATATATGTGTGTGCTTTAGTTGAATATCTTTATATACACATCTATATCTAAATATATACATTAGTATGCATATATGAATATATACATATATATACTGTATATGCATATATGTATGTATATATACATATATGACATATATATTAAAACATAGATAGAAATAAAGATATAAAGGAAAAATATGATCCAACGTGTCCACCGAGAATAAGACTCGTGGCCTCCGTTTCCAAACCAGCTGGAGTTAAGTTCGTAAATAAACGCGCGACGCCCTGATTTACAGTCAACTGACAGGAGGGAGAAAAATGTATATACTTTATGAAATCACGCGACGCTTTTCTGTTTTTATGGAAGTAATGGGAAACCGATCTAGATAATACAAATATATGTACATGTCATTGCTACAAATTTATACAAAATGAACAAATCCCAAATGTGTATACATGCACGTGTCTACCTGTACATGTGTGTAAATATATATATGTAAGCATATATACTGTATGTATATACATGTATATGTATAGAGAGATAACTACATATTGTTAGATGGATGGATTGATATATAAATATATTGATAGATAGCTGGATATATATAAACATACTAATATATGCATATATTGTCTATGGATTCACCTGACTGAATGAAGCAGCGGAAATGCTTTGAAAGGTCGGCCAGCGGGAGACAGACGCGCCTCCACACATGACGCGGCCGCTACGCCGAGGCTTCTGACTGACCTTCCGTCCTGATATATAAAGCCAAGAAAATCTTGCTTTATCGCAGTGCGGGTCTTCGATCGGGAAATAATCATGACACCTCTGGTAATGACAGCAATGCATAGTTCATTCTAGAAGCGAGTCAGTGGCAGTGGTAGCTTTGAATGGTGTTTGGTCTGTGGAAGAGTTGTAGTATTGGAAAAAATAATTCAAGATCTTTGCTTTTCATGCATTCATGAGAACGATTTCATTTTTAATGCACCATGTGTGAAAGAAAACAACATAAACAAAGACTGAAGGGAAATGTTTCTTTGGCAGGTTTTATTGGCAGTGCTGGGAGTGTGTTCGGCTGGTCCCTTCACGGGATACACCCCCGAAGTGCAGGCTGAGAGAGCACGCTTCTTCCAAAGCTTCAGTGCTGCTCAGGCTGCCGCCGTTCCCCAGCAGGCCGTGTACCACCATGCTGCCGCCGCCCCTCAGCACGGCTTCCACCACGCCGCCCTCGTCCAGCCCAAGTGGACCGGACCCGTGGCTGCCACCGTGCCCGCCGGCGTGGACGGCACCATCACGCCCGTGTCCGACACCCAGGAGGTGGCTGCCGCCCGCAACGCCTTCAGCAGCGCCTACCAGGCCCAGCTGAGGGCCACAGTGGGTGCCGTTCCTGCCGCCCACCATCACGCCCCCACCTACCATCACGCCCCCACCTACCATCACGCCCCAGCCGCCCCTCACCACGGCTTCCACCACGCCGCCCCCGTGCAGCCCAAGTGGACCGGCCCCGTGGCAGCCACCGTGCCCGCCGGACTCCCAGGCTCCGCCCCGCAGGTCGCTGACACTCCCGAAGTCGCAGCCGCCAAGCAGCAGTTCTTCAGCACGTACAACAGGCAGGCGGCAGCTGCGGCGCCCCCGTCGAGGCATTACTACTAGACCCAACTGCCATAATGTATATACGAAGCAAAATCGATTTAAAAGGAAATAAAGTTATATTTCTATTCTTGATTTTTTTCTTGATATTGTTTACATAAAAAAGTATATATATATAACTAAGAGTCAATTCATTTACAGGTTTTACGTATTTAATAGTATACATATTCTGTTTCTATGTTATATCTATTTGTTACGGTCATACCTCTCACAATAAAAAAAAATGAAGAAAAAAAAATGGCCACGTTCTTTCGTACTATTTTTTTTTTCTGTGCGTTCATAAGTTCCTGAACTGATAAAATAGGATAATAAAATTTACCACACACAATATTTAAAATCAAGGTATACACACCTAGTGGTTCAGCGATTAATTACCTGCTCACAGAGACATATATAAGCATATAAAAATATACATATACATATTTATACTTACGTAGGTACGAAAATGCCCAATCCACATAAAAAAAAAATTGAGGTCAGGAAAATACCTTCTATATGTTGATACGGAGTTTGAAAGGCAACTAAATTAACATTATTCTATTTCAGTTTACTTCAGTTCCTTTTATCAGGACGATTCAATAATAGTTATCTTCAAACTCTATAGAATAAATTAATTTCAATGTCTACCATGAAGTACAAGTTATTCCTGTGCCCTGTAATCCAACATCAAGCATTCTAAAGAAACAAGTGAATATTCCATTTTCATCATTTAAGATTTCCTCTGCGACCTTTATTTCGTTATCGACAAAATGCTGCAATGTTAATCGTACCTTTACTGAATATTAACATTCAGAAAATAAAGAAAAAATTCCATTCACTCAATACTGACTGCAACATTGGTTTACTTTCCACTTTTCTTAAACACATTTCTAAAGCCTTAGTAATATCTCTCAGTACTACAGCATCATCTCACAAAGGATAACTATCTTTGGCATACCCTCATAAAGTGTGTACATAATACTAAGTTTTTAGGAAGTTTAGAAATGGCCCTCATAAGTTTGGGTGATGTTGATGCCAGAGTCCTCGATATATCTGCACCCTACGGTCATATATATAAATGGCTTCCATCTCTCTAGCACAAAATGTAGAAGCATATTACAGACTTTACTTCCCAAACCTGTATGGAACTGCTACTGATCTTTTATTTCTCTGGGACGTATTTTTAATCCAACTACATATCTGCTGTCTGTGCTCATGATGTATTTTGCTGGTTGCATGCCCGTGATTAAATTTACTGCTAAATATTCAATAAATTTCATTTGATTTTGGTACATTTAAAAATGTTTACATTCACGAACATATAATTTGGCTATTCATAAGGGTTGGAACCCTAGGCCTAGCATACAATGCAAAAAAAAAAAATCCAAAATCAAGATACTTTTGCCATGTCAGAATAAACGATTCGGTATATCCATGTATACTCATGTACGTGTGTGAATCATACGGCTTTTTTTAGATAAATAATTTAAGTAGTTTTTCATTTTTTCATAACTTTATTTATTTAGTTATTTTCTATACATGGCTATCAGTTAATAAAGATTAGAAATATAACTTTATTTCCTTTTAAATCGATTTTGCTTCGTATATACATTATGGCAGTTGGGTCTAGTAGTAATGCCTCGACGGGGGCGCCGCAGCTGCCGCCTGCCTGTTGTATGTACTGAAGAACTGCTGTTTGGCGGCTGCGACTTCGGGAGTGTCAGCGACCTGCGGGGCGGAGCCTGGGAGTCCGGCGGGCACGGTGGCTGCCACGGGGCCGGTCCACTTGGGCTGCACGGGGGCGGCGTGGTGGAAGCCGTGGTGAGGGGCGGCTGGGGCGTGATGGTAGGTGGGGGCGTGATGGTAGGTGGGGGCGTGATGGTGGGCGGCAGGAACGGCACCCACTGTGGCCCTCAGCTGGGCCTGGTAGGCGCTGTTGAAGGCGTTGCGGGCGGCAGCAACTTCCTGGGTGTCGGACACGGGCGTGATGGTGCCGTCCACGCCGGCGGGCACGGTGGCAGCCACGGGGCCGGTCCACTTGGGCTGGACGAGGGCGGCGTGGTGGAAGCCGTGCTGAGGGGCGGCAGCATGATGGTACACGGCCTGCTGGGGAACGGCGGCAGCCTGAGCAGCACGGAAGCTTTGGAAGAAGCGTGCTCTCTCAGCCTGCACTTCGGGGGTGTATCCTGTGAAGGGACCAGCCGAGCACACTCCCAGCACTGCCAACAAAACCTGCCAAAGAAACATTTCCCCTCAGTGTTTATGGTGATGACGTTTTCCTTTATAGTCTATCGTAAATAAAGAAAGAAATCGTTCTCATGGATGTGGAAAAAAAAGTAATGCTTTTGAAAACTTTTTCAATTCTCAAACATCTACAGACAAACATCAAACACTTCTACTGTATCTACTCGCTTCTAGAATGAACTATGCATTGCTGTCATTACCAGAGGTGTCATGATTATTTCCCGA